ATTCATCCAGCAGTCTGTGCAGCGGTATTCGTCAAGCAGTCCGTGCAGCATTATTCGTCCAGAAATCCCTGCAGCATTATTCGTCCAGCATTCCGTGCAGCGGTATTCGGCCAGCAGTCTGTGGAACATTATTCGTCCAGCAGTCCGTGCAGCGGTATGCGTCCAGCAATCCGTGCAGCGGTATTAGTCCAGCAGTCCGTGCAGCGGTATGCGTCCAGCAATCCGTGCAGCGGTATTAGTCCAGCAGTCCGTGCAACGGTATTCGTCCAGCAGTCCGTGCAGCATTATTTGTCCAGCATTCCGTGCAGCGGTATTCTTCCAGCGGTCCGTGAGCAGTATTCGTCCAGCAGTCCGTGCAGCGATATTCGTCCAGCAATCCGTGCAGCGGTATTCGTCCAGCAGTCCGTGCAGCGGTATTCGTCCAGCAGTCCGTGCAGCGGTATTCGTCCAGCAGTCCGTGCAGCGGTATTCGTCCAGCAGTCCGTGCAGCGGTATTCGTCCAGCAGTCCGTGCAGCGGTATTCGTCCAGCAGTCCGTGCAGCGGTATTCGTCCAGCAGTCCGTGCAGCGGTATTCGTCCAGCAGTCCGTGCAGCATTATTCGTCCAGCAGTCCGTCCAGAGGAATTCCTCCAGCAGAAAGGCCGATCTGCCGCCGGGTGTCTGTGCAGAGGAATTGGTCCAGTATGAAGGCTGATATGCCGCCGGGTGTTCGTGCACTGGGGGCGGGGAGGGTCGGGTCTTACTGTGTATTGAGTGACTGGATGGAGTGTTTACTTGAAATTTAGGGCTTGAGCACGATTAAGTAATTGGTTTAGGTACCCGCCACCTCCCCCCGGGAGAGCATAAATATCCATGCTGCAGGCAGCCCCCAAGGCTTTGCCTCTGCATCAGCTCCAGGCTCATGTCCTCCTGCCCCAAGATCTCTGTGATGGAGCCGCACTTTCTCCTGGACCACGACGCGCTGCAGCAGGCTTGGGATTCCGCAGACCGGGCTCCAGAGCGCCATCCTCCGTGGTCCCCGATCTCCCCAGACCAGCTACCTCCTGTCCTCGTGCCGCTGGCACAGTCCTCAAGCCGCCCCAGCGATGACCACCAGCCACTGCTCTCCAGTCCTTGTTGGCAGCTGCCCTCGGTCCTCCTGCGATACCGAGCACTCTTAGCTGAGGCCCAGAGCCCCTCGGAAGAGAGCCCGGTGCAGCCCGGTGCAGGCCTCTTGCCAGGATTCGTGCCGATGCCAGGAGTACCCGCAGGAGCGCCTGAGCCCACAGAGCACACGTTCCGGCAGCTTCCTGTGGCCCTGCGGCCCAACGCCCATGCTGGAGAGGGACCAGTGGACACGGAGGCCTGGGACCACTTGCAGCCTTCAGTGTGCAGCCCAACTCCAGGCCCCAGCGGGTGGCGCCTGCACCTGCTCTGCTCGGGCTGCCTGCAGTGCATCCTTCGTGCTCTCTCCTCTTTGAGCCGCTGGGCTGCTCACTGCTGGGCGACAGTCCTGGACACTTAGGACCCCGAGGCTGTGGCTGCAACCCCCTTGATGGGCCCTGCTCTGTGCGTGATAGGGGGCAGCGCCCCAACCCCCTGATCG